TTTAAATTCCTAGGTGTACAAATTTGGACCTTTTTTTTTTTTTTCCCTCAATCTGACTGATAATTTGTAAAAGAGTGATCTTTAATATGTCATTATTATTATATAAGAACAATGAATATACTGCATCCAGTATTCACTTACTTAATTTACTGTTCCATTCTGTTCAGTGGAACCAGAAATATCTTCTAAGTATGTACAAGTAATATGTTATTTAGGTAAGGTTGGGCCGTATTTCCTTCATACATAACAAGCAAGGTGATTAGGTCATATCTATAATCTGAAACTACTAGTACCCATGTATTGCTTTTATAACTGTTAATGAATGTCAACAAGTCATTTCTTTATCTCAATTACAGATCTGAAGGGTACTTTTAAATGTAACATATACTGAAGCACAATGAAAATGTAACAGTAAATTTTACACCAACAGCATAGTGGACATATACACAATATTATTTATATTTGAAATAGTGAACAAATAGGTTTGTTGATTGTATGAGTAGTATTATACCTTCGAACAACAAAATCCTGATCACAAATCATGTGATTTCATTAAAACTCAGTTTTCAATGCATTTCTTTTATAGTATATAACCATGGTGATCTAGTAGGTGCTTACATTGAAACTTGTATTACAAATGTTTTGTTTTGTGTTTATATTTTTGAAACTATGAAGCTTGTAGTTTTAATAAATGTCTTGGGTTTTTCTTACTTGTAGACTGATAAATAGAATAATGCCTGGTGCTGTAACAAAAATCAACAAATCAGTTTCTCCATTTAAACAGGTAGGAATTTGTTGAGTTTATCATAGCTGTTCAATCAACTTTTCTTTGATATTGTTACAGGTACTGCATTTCATTTTTGTTTGTTTGTTTGTTTTGAAGTAAGTAATAAAAATTTTAAATCTTTGAAATTGGTATTTTATTACCCAAATTTCTGAGTATCCCTGTAATGCTTTAAGTTTCTGTAAGTGTATTTAAATATAACTTTAAATTTTAAACTTTATTTAAATAGATTGGTACGATATACCTATGTCAATAACAGTTAAAATGAAGGGAAATTTTCACCATGGTAAAAACAAATGAATGATTGACTAGAATGCTTTTAGTGGTTTACAGAAACTAAGCTTATTACATTAACTCTTTCACTGCTGTGGGCACATATGTTTTCCCTCTAGGGCACTGCTGTGGGCATAGATATATATATATATATATATATGGAACACATTATATAACCTTTGTTTTAGCCTTACCGTTTGAGTTTGGAATCTTGTACCACCTTGAAGAAAGGGAATTCTCCCCCCTCCCCTTCAGACTTCCCATTGTTTTCTAGTTTCAAATGAAATATTAAAACATGTATCGTTTTTGTCTGTTATTATATACCTGTATATATAAGAGTTATTTATCCAAACATATCAGTAAAACAGTTAAACAACTATGAACAAATCATGATTTTTTTTAAATGTTATTGAAATATGACTTAAAAGCAAAGAAAGAATGATTTATCATAATAGTTATAAATATGAGTTTTTGCTTCAAATACAGAAAAATATAAAGACTAAGAAAATTGTTTTAAAAAAGTATAGATACACTTTGTATTAGGAAACTTGTCTGAGGGGAGAAGAAAATTCCAACTACTGTAATAACCTTATTATTGTTATTTTTGACTTTATTATATTAACATAAAATAATAAAGAAAGAGAGTCGATGTTTATATATATATACATGTGTGTTTTTATTAGCACATTTTTTTAGATTAATCATTTTTACATTACCAGATGGAAAATATTGAAATGTTTTTGAAGGGATGTTTAAAATATGGCCTTAAGTCTTGGGATATGTTTCAAGTGAATGACCTTTATGAAAAAAAGAACCCTTACTTGGTAAGTAATAACGTGTGCTACCATTTAATAAACATTGAAAGTAAAGCTATTATTATAAGTTAAACAGTTAGCTAAATATGTTTAAATATTCTGATGTGACAGTTTTATGTCACCTTCTAGGTGAGGCTGAGATTTCATTAGTTTAAGAGCTTCTTTAGAATGTAGTCAAACTAGCTATGTATTTCTTATAAGCAGTTTTTACCTGGCTTGACATATTACTCTTTCTCCACTTTATCCTGTTTTTGGTCTTGCAACATACCTTCTAGGAATGGTTGCAATTTTCTTTATTGTATTTGTATATTGTATTTGTAGATCTGATCAACTTGGTGATACCTAGCTTTTTGACTGGCTGATTTATGGAAAATCAAATCGTGATTTATAAGTCTCGGAAGTTTTTCTTGAAAATACTATAGTTTTATTGCCTATTTTTGTAATAATTACAAGATGAATACAAGTATAAAAAAAATATAAAAATATTGTGTTTTATTTGTTTAGGTGTGTTAATGTTTAAAGTTCGTTTAGTCTGAAATTAAAACAGTGCTGCTTTACTAAATTTACTGGCAGTCTTAGTTTAATTGAAACTTTTATCCTTATCTTGTAATATAAAATTTCTTTCGGGCAATTGTTTTGATGTGAAACTGATAAGATTGTATGGTTTAAAAACATCATGTTATTAACTCCTAATTGGATTTTCTGAAATTACTTAATTGTTTTTTGTTTTTTTTGCAGGTGGTGAACTGTTTGTTTTCTCTGGGAGGCCTGGTAAGTACATCTTGGTTTTTAAACGTTTTTATGTCACATTAACAGATTTTCAGGATGTGTATCATAGTTTAGTTTATTGTTAAACATCACATTTATCACTTTTTTTTTTTTTTGGTAAGAAAACCACTCGTGAATTATAATGGGGAAATAACAGCTATACAGAATAATTTGTTTGAACAATCATTTATTTGTTATTTTAAATTTTCAGTAAATCTGTGGAGCCTTTTCTGAGAGTCCACAAAACCTCATTGATCCCCCATTTAGGTTCCCTCATATGAAAATTCTGAAAAATGTATTTATTTTCAACAGTTCTCTTGCATGTCCATCACAGCCTTCATGGTCAGCTCAGTGAATTCTGAGAGCCGTCCAAATCTCTTTGATCTCCCACTTGGAGCTCAAGTATGAAAAGTTTGAAATATCTAATGTAAATAACCATTAACATGTAAAGAACATTAAAAAGGGGCAAAGTCTCACTGACAAAGAAAGGGCACTTTTCAATCATTGTGAGGCAAGACTTTTTTTGTGGGGGAAGATGCTAGAGGAGACTATGGGAACTGTTGGTTGCCCCTGGTACACCTAAGGTAATAATCCATAAGGAGCAAGCTGATCCTAAACTCTTAGCAAACATTATGTATCACTTAGTTATTGTGGAAATGTTTTTATGACTGAGAAAAAGGGTACTTTGGGGGCATAAGAGCAGAAAAGCAAAAGCTTGAGTCCACCCAGCCTGTGCATGTTACTGTAAATACCTGTTTTAAATGATCTTCTACATTTTAATGTCTGTTTTCATGCAAATTGAGAAATCTAATCCTGAAAGCCCCCAAAATTTTTGACTCTTTCTACATGGTGCTTAAATTTGAAGAATTTCAAATTCTGAATTTATACAGATGTTTCGAATGGTTCATTACATGTTAATACCAAACTTCAAGTAAAATTTTAAAGTTCAGTCAAACCCGAGAGTTCCAAAAATCCATTAACAACCCATTTTTGGAGTCCTCTTTCAGCTTTTTTATCTATTTGTATATTTTATGGGGATCAAGGGCCAACATGTAATCTTTCTAGTTGTTTTGTCAGAAATAGTGAGAGGAGTTTAACAAGCAAGTAAATGTACATACATGCTTATGTACTATTGAAAATTATTATTTAAATTCATCATATCTGTCTCACATTTTCTCTCCATTTGTACCTTACTTCCAACTAAAATTCTCCTAAATAATAATGCTTGGAGACGGCTTGAATGGGTAATGAAGAAAAACTTTAATATAAGTTTAACATAACAGCCATAAAGTTTCATGTCCAAAACACACCATTTCTCCCTGCATTCTTTCCATAATTAATGTAGTGTAAATGTACAGGAATTCATAGGTGCTGTGTCTGGCAAGTTGACTGGTTTTACCCTCATGTGGAATACCTTGAATACCCATATCATTCTACAGGTGCTTGAGGCATGTGAAGTTGAATGAAAGGTATGACTGGAAGCCTTATCATGGTGAACCCATACCCTGTTGGCCTGATTTCCATACAAAATTGATATTTCTGTGTGATACTGTCTGGAACTTTGGTGTTGATAGTAATTAGAAATTACCTTGATGTTTCTATTTGCTCTCCTTATCCAATGATGATGTTGAATCTCTTGATAAATGTTTCACGACTTGCTATGTACTACATCTGGAATTTTCTTCATCTATTGGCCCTTAAAAATGGTATGACTTGTTTCAGTTTTCAAGGTATGTATAAGCTTTGTCAATTGTCACCACATACTGCCATTTTTCCAACTAGGGATCATTCATACAGTTGCCTGGGACGCATAGAACCTTTTTACGAACCTTTGTATTTGTAAAACAGATGTTAAACATGATGACTTCTATTTAAAATAACTTGCTGTGTTTGCAACAATACTCATTTCCAAATATAGGATTGAACCATTTTTATCATATGAAAATGAAATGCATCAGAATACAGTCATATACTGAAAGTTTACACTGACTAATTGTCAACCAAGCAGTCAGACCATTCCAAGCAGTAATGTGGTGAATGCACTTGTGGCTTCCAGGACAAAAATTTTAGGTAACAAACATGTAGGAATTTGATGACGAGGAACCCACTTTGAGACTAATAATGCTTGAAGATGGCTTGAATGGGTAATGAAGGAAAAAATGTAGGAATTAAAGTTTTAATTGGTGAAAACTACGTCTGACAGATAGAGGTGACATTTCATGTTTCAGTAGAAGCTATTTGTGAACTATTTAAAGGGTAAATAAAAGTTATACAAATCAAAAAGCTGAAATGCACATCAGATTTCAAATATTGGGATGAACAAAGATGGAGGAGGATACTCTTTATAGATGAATCCAAGTTCAAATTGTATGGCAGAAATCAACAATAGTGTATTTAATGGCAGAGAGAGGAATAGTATGATGGTCAATATACAACATTAACAATGAAGCATACTTGGGGACCACTGCAAGTGTGGCCTGCATCTCATCCTATAATGTTTTAGATCTTTAAAAATGTTAAAGTACCCTGACTTGCTGGCAGGAACAAGCAAACTGATATCCACAGTTTTCCAGCAAAGCACTAAGCCTGCCCAAGCTTACAGTAAATGTGGTGAAATGATAACTGGAAGAAAAAGGAACTGATGGAACAGTTGCAAACATGACTTGGTCAGCACAAAGACCCAATGTGATCATTATTAATGCTGCATTGGCTTATGTGGAAATTGTTGGTCAAACAACAAATAAACAATTTGGCTGAATTATGGGACATAATATGGGATATTTGAAACAATATTTTGTAACCATAACCTTGTGGCAGCAAACACAAAATACTATTACATTGTACAACTTGTCTGCTTTTCTTTTGTAATTTCTGTTATAACATTATACTAATGTTAAATTGACATATAGTTGCAATTATTCAGTATTTGTGAGTGCTGTATGTGTATCATCGATGCATTTCCATAATGCTTTCTAACACTGTATACACAAAGTCTTCAGTACACATTTTTGTCACAACATGTTTATTGAAATGAATTATGTAAGTGTGTGTGTTTTGGAAGAATGAAGACTTTTATAGAAAGATTGTCATCCAAAACTTTACTTTTCATCTATTTAGATCAGGTGGTATTTTTACAGCTATAGTTAATGAATTGTGTTGAAGTTTTAGTATTTTTGTATTCTTAAATAGGTTTTTATTTCTGAAATGAAAGATATCAAGAGGTGAAAAAAGTCATAATGAAAGAGATTTAAATGTTATTGTATTTCTTCTGAAAAACTATATTACACAATTATTCTTAGGATATTTTTCTTTTGCCCTCTTTTGAATTGGTGTCTTTTAGGCTCAAAGAAATGGATTTGATGGTCCAGTCGTGGGTGTGAAAGTTGCTGATGAGAATAAACGAATTTTTACTAGAGAGCAACTAGAAATGGGTAAAACTGTGCTTAGCCTTCAGACAGGGACCAACAGAGGAGCCTCTCAAGCTGGAATGACTCCTTATGGTTCTACGCGACAAATTCTGCCTGATAGAAGATGAAATTTTTAAAAATCGAACCAGAAATTAAAATGTTGTTTAAACATGGCATAAAATTTTTTTATATCCATTCATTCTTTAAAGTATATATGTACATGTGTGTGTGTGTGTATATGTATGTATATATATATATATATCACACATGCTAGTAGTATTACACTCATTAGTTACATATTTCATAGTTGTGTTTAACAAAGTTAACAAAAAAAGAAAAAATAATGTTTGAAAGATCACAAGTACTACACATTTTTGTGAAATCTCAGTTATTCACAAAAAAGTGTAAAAAAAAAAATATAACAATGTGTATTAGATAATGATATTGTTAGCAATCAAAATATTTTTTGATTTCAAAGTAGCCAAAAGATCGTTAACCAACTCATTTTTGATGCTTGACATTTTTATGGCCCAGTTTTTGGAGATTTCTTATTTATCTACGATTGCTGATGTCAACTCAAGAAATTGTGGTAAAATCAGTGTTTCCAATTAGTTTGGAGAGAAAGGAAAACAAAAGAGCGTTTCAAACGTACGGACAGATGAATCTGCAGTTTATTAGAAAGTGGTGAAAATAGAATTATTTAAATTTTGCTTTTATCTATCAGTGACTCTCACATTTGACTGTTGATGTTATTTTTTTGTTTTCTGTATGATGATTCATCATTTTTAGCTTTCATTTTTATTACTTATCACCAAATGTTTTTTTTCATGTTACAGGATAAATTTTATGTGGGATGGTGACTTGTTGTTGTAAAAGTGCTTCACATTGATTTACTGAATATACAACAGGTTTTGTGGGTGTCTTTGTTTCAAACCTTTAATGTTGGATAGCTTGGAATAGTGTTGTGCCAAGATTTTCAGATTCCTATAGAATGTGAAGATGCTATTTTTAATATGTTCAATTTATATTCGAACAAAAGGGGAGTTAAAACTAATTATAACAACATTTTCAAATGTTTATGTTGTACATGTGTGGCAAAGTATTGTCATTTTCTGTCAGTAACAACACTCAGTAGTGCAGTCAGAATTGTATGTTAAGCATGTACATGTTGTAGCTTTAACTCTTTTAAACTCGAAATTTTTTTTGCATGTTCTGCTGGAATTATTTTCACGATTTCCTAATAATTACCACCATACCTTTATAAAATTTCAGTTTTCTAAATTTTGTGGATAATAACATGGTTTGGATTAATTTTCAGCCAAAGAGACATTTATTATCAGATGCTGTCACCGTCCGATGGGTAAATCGAGATTATCAGCTGGATATTGGCAGCATCTGCTCAGGTTTAAGGAGTTAAATACGGAGAAAAAGAGGTCTACATGTTTCTTGTCAAGCAAAATGACCCAAAAGAACCTTGAGTAGTTTGGGTAAAATATTTTATCAAGAGAATTGTAAAAGCAAACAGACCATATTAAGTAAATAAAACTACTACTTAAAGAGGTGTGTGGAAAGATGCACAAAAAATAATGAGTTTAAACTATAAAATAAACAAACTATGCTGAAAATAGTTTATGTGCATATGAAAAAATACAATTGATAAAAGAAACTTGCTTATTTAGTAGTGTTTGTTATCTCTGCTAGAAATTACGATGTTCTACTTTTTGGAAATTGTATTTTGTTTCTGGTTAGCATGGGCTCAATTTGTAGATTTGTACATTTTTGATATAGGGAAATGTAAACTTCCAGAATGCACCTACATCTGCTCACACTTTAGCTAGAAACCCCACATTGACAAGTGAAGGGGCCGATGAAGGCAAGATCCACACAGAAAGCGTCCTCGTAGAAAATGTGTACAAATTGAGATATGGTATAGCACACTATTGGGATCTGCACTATTTCTAGTATGGGTATGCTATTTGTCTGGGTAATGTGAAATCTAAAATGTGAGCAGTAAAGGCCAAACAGCCACAGTGTGGAAACTGTAACATAGTGAAAAAAAACATGCAAGGAGGGGCACCTGTTCCAAAACTGGTTCCTCCTGCAATACCAGACACATTAAGTATGGACGTATTGTACATGCTCATGAGAATCATCCAGCCTCAACCATGCACTTGTATTGAAAATATGGAATTCATAGGCCTTTGGACAGAAAAGGAAACTTCTCTTCATATCAGTCTATTTGAACTTTAAGCAGTTAATGAGCTGGCTCATGGTCTCAGATTGTTGCGAGGGAAGGGGATAATGCTTTACTACAATTCTACAGTTTTGTACATTTCAAAGCAAGGGGGCACTCACTCCAGACTTCTTTGCTTTCAAACATTGGATCTTCTCCTTTGGGCACACAAACATCAGATCATTCTCCTTGCTTGTCATGTTCCAGTGGCCAGTCAGTTTTCTTGTCCCAACAGAGGTCTTCCCATGGGATGGATGTTTCGTCCTCAAGTTTTTTGTTGTATCTGCTCTCGTATTGGAATTCTTCAGGTCAATGTTTTTGCCTAACACTGGAATGCTCAGTTCCTGTCTTTCTGGTCTCCTGTACCTCACCCTCTGGCTTTGGGTGTAGATGCTCTCTTCGTTTTTTCTCATTCCTACTGATTTGTTTGTTATCCAAGGTTCTTGCACAGATTTACTCAACATTCTATCAAGTTCTTCTGGTGGCACCACATTGGCCAGGTCAGCCCTAGTTTCTACTCCTCAAGTATCTTCAGGAGTGTCAACTTCTTCCCTTCCTCTCTGGTCATCTCTTACATTAGCCATGGTCAGACTTTTTCAACTTGCAGTCAAAATTCTTTGACTTTACACCTGGCTTTAATGCTGTCGATTGCACGACATCAGGGACTGACTTTTCGGGCAGTGTCCTTATTAACACTGTCCATTCAGAATTCTTCTTTGGAAGTTTATCAATGGAAATGGTTTGCTTATTTAGTGGTCTCTCAGATATGGGCTTAACCCTTCTTGTTCCACTGTGGCACATGTCTCAATTTCTGACATGGTTAGTGCCTTTATCTATTGCCCTGTATAAGGCTGCTTTATCAGTTATCTCTTTTGTTTTTCTAAGAGAAGAAAATTCTTTAAGTCCTCGGTTTGTCATTACTTCTGAAATCTTTTTTGGGTTATCTGTCCTCAACATCCTTTCCAGGTTCCATATTTGGATATTACAGTAGTTCTCGATGCCTTATCTCATCCACCTTTTGAACCTTCAGAGTCATGTTCACTATATCATCTTTCATTTAAGATTTATTTTCTTCTGTTATTGGCTTGTGGGGACTGACATTCAGATGTGTTTGTGCATCATGTTCATAGGACTTTACCATTCCACTTATGTTTTGTTGTATCTAGATATGTCTTTTCTACTCAAAAATTTGGCAGTTAGAGAAGGAGATAAAGTTTTCTTACCTATTCATCTTTCTTCCATTTCACATTTATAACTGCTCAGATCCACATCATGTTTTAAGCCCAGTTTGGGTTCTTTGATGTTATTTGGAATGCACTGAAATGTTTTGGGACTCGCATCACCGTTTGTTTATCCATTGGGATCCTACTGTGTCATGTGACTTATCCCCTGTCACTCAGACAGGTTGGATTCATCAGTTGGTTCGTATGGTTTACTCCAGGCTTTCATTGGATCTCATCTCATCAAGTTTGACATATCTCGATGTCCCTGGCAGCTCAGTTGTGTTATCCACTGGTGGAAGTGGTACAAGCTATGATATGAATCACACCTAACACCTTTATATCGCACTATTTACATGATTTAGCTGTTTCCTCATTGAATGCGTTTCGACTATCACTCGTGGCTAATCTATATGCTCTGGCTCGATTGTGATGATTCTTTTGTTTTATTCTATTCCTTTTCAGGGACCCTCTCATCAATAGTATTTGGATCTCACTCAGGGGCAAGTGTTGCCTGGTCAGGTATGTTTTTTCCAAATCCACATTAGCTACCAGTAGACTAATAAATAAAATTCCTGTTAGCAATGAGCTCTGTTGCAATGGGGTGTTCCATAAGACCACCTTAGCATTTCTGGGTGGTACACAATTATTCAATACCATACATAATATACAATACTAGACCACCAATCCTGGACTATCATGAGGAAAGCATAAAGGGTGTTTACCCATTCCCTACTGACCCCTTAATTGAATAAATTTGGGTTAGTTTGCTTTTTCAAATAGGAATGTGGTTCCCCTATTCTTCATAGTGGAGCATGGAAGTCCTTACCACTCCTCGTTTCCAGTCGCTGGAGTGGTGGACAGAGGTCAATTCCTCCTGAGTAATGTATGAACATTATTCCACTCAAAGAGAAGGGGGCAAAGCTGGATACCCTCCCTCTCATAACCCTGGATGGTTTTTCCCAGATGTCTGGTGGGAGCAGGACTAGCCTACACGGGAGTCTCCTTGTAATTCCAGTTCAGAGATGACACTTTGCTATCTGGTTGTGTTGAGCATGGCCCTTTTCTTTGGTCACTATATTACTTTCCATGATCATGGAAGAGAGTCTTGAATTCCTTGTAATTCTACATGTGGAGCATGAAGTCTTTGAGCCATTGGTTGAACTTTGTTTGTTCCAAATCCTACTCATAATTCTGGGGGCAGTGGTGTTGCCTTGCATCTCACTTTGGGGAGTTAAAATTTAGGTTCGTAATCCCTGCCAAGTCATCTATGTTTTCTTCAGGTTGAGTGAGCTGTGAATGGGCCCCGTAATTCTGAATTCAGTTTTTTTGCATTTTGTGCTTCTTCAGGTTGGGGTGAGGGTTTGTCCACTTTTGTGTTGCTTGCCTTCTCTTTGTAATTCTGTAACTTTCAGGTTGGGTTACCTTAATATAATATTACTATAATACAATGATATCACACTGCAGCCCCCATGCCCTGGACATTACTACACCTTGGATCTATCTTTGGGTCCATAGCTCTATAATTTCCAACGATTAGACATGCAACTTCATCTGCATGGTTGGGGCTCAATGATTCTTCTGAGCATGTACAATATGTCTAGACTTAATATGTCTGGTATTGCAGGAGAAACCAGTATTGGAATAGATGTCCCTCCATGCATGTTTTTTTTTTCACTATGTTACAGTTTCAACACTATGGCTGTTTG